CAAACAACCCAATCAAGAAATGAGCCGAAGACCTAAATAGACATTTTTCCAAAGAAGACATACAGATGGCCAAGAGTCACATGAAAAGATGCTCAACATCACTAATTATTAGAGAAGTGCAAATCACAACTACATTGAGATATCACCTCACAACAGTCAGAATGGTTGTCATCAAAAAACTTACAAACAAGAAACTTCCCTGGTGGTCCAATGGCTAAGACAGCGCTTCCAATTCAGGGGTCCCAGGTTCAACCTCTGGTTAGGGAACTAGATCCTGCATGCCACAGCTAAAAGATCCTGCATGCTGCAACTAGAGATTAAAGATCCCCATGCCACACCTGAGACCTGGCACAGCCAAATAAATACATATTTAAAAAAAATCTACCAAAGTAAATGCTATAGAGGGTGTGGAGAAAAAGGAACTCTGCTACATTGTTGGTGGGAATGTAAATTGGTACAGCCACTATGGAGAATAATATGGAGTTCCTTAAAAAACTAAGAATAGAGCTACTGCATGATCCAGCAATCCCACTGCTGGGCATTTATCCAGAGAAAAACATGGTCCAAAAGGATACAAGCAATGTGTCATTGCAGCACTGTTTACAATAGCCAAGACATGGAAGCAACCTAAATGTCCATCAACAGATGCATGGATAAAGATGTGGTACACATTTACAATGGAATATGAGCCATTAAAAAGAAGGAAATGATGCCATTTGCAGCAAGGATAGACCTGGAAATTTACCATACGAAGTAATTCAGAGAAAAACAGATAAATATCACATCACTTACATATGGAATCTAAAAAAAAGGTAGAAGTGAACTTTTTTTAAAATGAGGAAACCAGTGTCAATCTATATTATAAAAATCAGAAAACATTAATTTCTTTTTGAAATTAATTTTAATAAAAGTTTAATTTTTTCCCTGGCATCCCAAAGGATCATCTTGCCTACCTCCTGGCATAATACCTACATCCCACTTTGTAAACCAACTGGTCTAACATAAGAGTAAGATGCCTTATGATAGAATTGAGTTCTTTGCCTTTTTTTCACATTCTCTTCAAATTTCATACATCATTGAAAGGCATCTACATAAGAGAACTAATCTTTAAAACAAGCATAGCCAGTGTAGTATAGACTTCTTATACTATATATCATACTCTTCTAAAACTAAATGTATGCCCTGAAATCCATACCTAGGTCTTCCTTTATCCTAAGGTTTTAGGAGCTAAATTAAAGGCTTTATAAAGTGTGGATTGTTTAACTGGTAGATAGTTCCATGTGAATTCTCTGTGGAAAGTTAACATTCTTCTCGGGCCAGATGTTGAAATTGATGACTAAAGATACGTTATAATTTCTTATTAAAGAAAGTGATTCTTTGATAACTTTTTTTTTTTGGATAATGTTTTCTTTTAACTTGGAATGGTTCAAATAGCAATAAAATTATTTTAAAGTTTTGGTAATTGGATCTTTCATATCTAATTGCCAATGACTGATATAATCAATCTTTAAAAATCAAAACATTATACCTTGAAGTGTATAAGTACATTTAATTCTCTTGTGTATATGTAGAACTCTTAGCCCCTAAAAATCAATCATTTTGGACAGGATGTAACATACTCTTGAGAAGAGATGGTAGGGGCTTGTTCTAGTAGCCTGCAAGTTCCTAATGGAGTGTGTGGCTAAACATGTCAGATTGGGGCAGGAATAGTAATTCCACCAGTGAGTTCCAGCAGATGTGACATCAGTAGCATAGATCTGAGTGCATGTCGGCTCACAACAGACTGTCCTGATGATGAGGCCAGAGGCTCTCTTTTGAAGGGTACTCTGGATGAGTCATAGCTGTTACCAAGAATGCTAGGCCATACATGCACAGGTAGTTCACCAGTCTTGTCAAAGTGCATCACAAAAATTCAGTCTCAAGATTCTATGATTCCAACAGCATTAGCTCCTAAATTCACATTTTGCTCTATAATAAAACTATGTCATCTTGCTTACAGCCTAGGATCTAGTGGCTTCAGCTAATTGAGGAGTCATAGCAAGGTAGCAATTACTTGGGAGTTTAAGCCTTAGAAGATCTTCCCTGGTGGCTCAGATGGTAAAGTGTCTGTCTACAGTGCAGGAGACCCAGGTTCAATCCCTGGGTTGGGAAGATCTGGAAAAGGAAATGGCAACCCACTCCAGTATTCTTGCCTGGAAAGGAGCCTGGTAGGCTACAGTCCATGGGGTCGCAAAGAGTCGGACATGACTGAGTGACTTCACTTTCACCTTTTCAAGCCTTAGAAAGGAGGATTTTCTTGAGGTTCCCTGATGGTAATGCTGGGCTGAATGAATCACAAACTGGAATCAAGATTGCTGGGAGAAATATCAACAACCTCAGATATGCAGATCTGATACCACTCTAATAGCATAAAGTGAAGAAGAAAAAAGAGCCTTTTGATGAGGGTGAAAGAGGGGAGTGGAAAAAAGTTGGCTTAAAACTCAACATTAAAAAAATTAAGATCATGGCATCCAGTCCCATCATTTCATGGCAAATAGAAGGGGAAAAAGTGGAAGCAGTGACAGATTTTATTTTCTTGGGCTCTAAAATCACTGTGGACGGTGACTTTAGCCATGAAATTAAAAGATGCTTGCTCCTTGGACGGACGGCTATGACAAACCTCAACGACATTTTAAAAAGCAGAGACATCACTTTGCCAACAAAGGTTCATATTGTCAAAGCTATGGTTTTTCCAGTAGTCATGAAACAGATGTGAGAGTTGGACCATAAAGAAGACTGAGTGCAGAAGAATTGATGCTTTTTAACTGTGGTGCTGGAGAAGGCTCTTGAGATTCCTTTGGACAGGGGAGATCAAACCAGTCAGTCCAGAGGAAATCAACCCTGAGTATTCATCGGAAAGACTGACGCTGAAGCTCCAGTACTTTAACCACGTAATGCAAACAGACGCCTCCTTGGAAAAGACCCTGATGCTAGGAAAGGTTGAAGGCAAAAGAAGAGGTGAGAGGCAGAGGATGAGATGGTTAGATAGCATCACTGACTCAGTGGGTATGAACTTGAGCAAACTCCAGGAGATAGTGAAGGACAGGGGAACCTGGCGTGCTGCAGTCCTTGGGGTCACAAAGAGTTAGACACGACTTAGTGACTGAACAACAGCAACCAATACTATGGAAAGAAGAGAGCAGAGTTAGGGATGGGCTTTTGTGTATGATTTTAGCCCAGTTGTTGGTTTCATTTTCACTTGAGTGTCTATCCAGGTTGCCCAGGATTGAAATCCATTTGGTCCTAGATTCTCTCCTTTTCTGTCCATACCCTTTGTGCTGCCATTCCCCCTCTCTCATCCCTCCTCTAAATATAGTGTAACCACCATTTTGCTCTAGCTGCTTTAAAAAAAATTATCATTGTTTTGAGTTTCTCATTTTCCTGTGTGGAAAAGATTCTAAAGAAAAGATCTTGATTCCGTCATTATTTTAGCTCTTTATATTTGCCAACCCTCTCCTCTTTAGTCTTAAAAAAAAAAACTGACTTAAAACTAAATTGTTAAGCTGTTATTTCAGAATTTGGAAGAGTGGATTTTTTTTTCTTTTTTTTGATTTTTTTCTTTAAAAAATGAACTTAAAACGATCATGCTATGATCTTCAGGTTTGGTTAAATAAATCATCTTTTTCAGTTCACAGCAAACTACAAAATTTATTGAATTATCTTAGCTGTGATTAAAATTAAAGTGTGTCTCCTTACACTAATATGTGAAAATTAGTTCAATCCTGTAAAAATACTACCATATTATAAATAATCTTTTATATGCCTGTAGGGAACTAGGGGGAACTTAGTAATATTTGCATATTTTCTCCTCAAATAGTAATATTTCCATATTTTGTTTGTAAGCAATAAATATGTATATATATTCATGGATATTTGTATTATGGGAGAATTTTTTTTTGGTTGCACTGCTGTACGGTTTGTGGGATCTTAGTTTCCTAACCAGGGATCAAACGTGTGCCCCTGCAGTAGAAGTGCAGAGTCTGAACCACTGAATCACCAGGGAATATCCACTATCTGAAAAATTTTAATGTAGCTTTGTCAACTGATCAAAGGACTTAAAAGATCTGAATTTAATGATTTAATTTATTAAATTAAGATAACCTTTTTCATATACAGAGTCCTGTTATCTCAAATGCTGGTACAACGAAGGGTAGTAACAGTTGATAGTTTTTTTTCTTTAAACACACTATGTCCTGGCATGATGTTCCTAGTAATGGATATGGTGATCCACTAGCCAAAATACTTAAAAAAAATTTTATGTTGCTCTTTAGAACAATAAATGCTTTTCTTTGATCTTTTCTATGGATATCAGTTTTTATAATACACAGTTTATACTATAAGAGAATTTGAACTGTATGAACTTCTTCAGGATTCTATTAGCATAGAAAGCGTTGAATTGAAGGTAAAGATTTTAAAATGGCATTTGCCTAATATAAAGCTCATTACTCCCAGCTCTGGTATTGCTAACAAATGATGTTGGATTACCATGGCAAGGTATTCAGTATAGAACTGTATTCATTCTTGATTGTTCTACTTGGGACGGGTATTAATGGACACTTTACTGTAGCTCATAATCATGATGATATTGCTATCTTTTGCTTTGGTAAGTTTGTGTAAAAGTAATTCACTACTAATGGTAGATAGTTTTTGGATTTTAGGTTTCAGGTATTGGGTTTTTTTTTTTTTTGAGGGAGGGGTTAATTTTATTTTTTGTATGATGAAAGTTCCTATCAAAAATAACTTCCCTCAAAAGCTTTTAAAATTGGATTTTTATTGTTCAAATAACATTTTAATCTAAATTCTGTTGCTTAGTTTCTTCATGGGGAAATCCAGTGTCCTTAAGAATACAGTCCTAAGAGAAAGTTGTTACATACTGGAGAAAGGCAGAATGATTGTGTTGTTATGGCAACTCAAATGGAGAAAATGAAAACAGCACAGATAAGCTGCATCCTGTTGTCATAGCAGCCATAGTTGTGAAAATGATTAAAGCTGGTCTAGAAAGGATGTATTGCAGTCTTAATCCATCGGAAGTAAGTAGTGTGAGAAAGGACAGGGAGAACTGGTTTTAGACAAAAGTTAAATCCCTCTGGTGCCACAAGTTGCTAGTATCACTCACTGCATGTGATCTCTGTCCTTTCTAATTATATTTCAGCTCAATTTTATTGCCTCAGATCATAACAATAGTATGAAAGAGAGAGAAATGAAATAACCATATGAAAAGCTTGTGAATAAAGATTTTTTTGGGTGTACATTTAAGAAGAAATTGAAGTCACAAAATTTTGTTAACTGAAAGTAGCTTTAAAGGAACAGTAGAAAGTTTCATTTTTCTCCTCTTTCCCTTCTCTTTTCCCTCATTTTTCACCTAATTCTTTATTTTGTTTCTGTATCGTTTTAGTCTTAAGTGTTGAAGTGCAACATAAATACCTAGTGTTACGGCAGTTTGTAAAGCATCAAATGCAGCATTGTGACTGCAGGTAAACAGATGGGTTTGATGATGAATGATAAGCATCTTGTAGGTGAAATTTATTTTATCTGTATCCTTCAAGCTTTCTCTCGAATCAAAGCTTCTTAATTATTTTAAATGCCATTATTTCTTTCTCAACTTCTACTTGCCCACCATAGCAAAATATTTCCTCTCAGTGGAGTGGAGACCTGTTAGGAATGAAAGCTGTGCTCTTTGTTCAGTATCTGGCCGGTTGCACAGGTTTTTGTGGCAATGGAATTGTCCTCTCTGTGTGAAGAGTATTGATCTACTGCTTGGTAGGTACTGTGTAAAAGAAGTATCTCAGTAACAATGTGTTAAAGTGGTTTAAGAGCAGTTTATATTACAAATGAGGTAGAGGAAGATGGAGTTCTGCAAGGTTGGACACGTGCTATAAATATATATAAAGCTGAGAGGTTGATATAAAAACTGTGGTGTTGAAATTCCCATATTTCTTCCACATTTAATTGCAAATAGCTGAACACTATCTGAGCATGAGTACACGAATGCCATTGCCCTTTTGCCCTTTACTAGAGGTTTTTATATTTAACATTCTTGTGTTGTAGTTGAAAACTATGGTGTGAATGTCAGTCAGTTATGAGACATAATGTTGACTGACCATAAAAGCAGTGTTTTGAAATGATCCATTGAATATTTTCAGTCAAAATCCAAATATTAATGTTGACTTGCTTAAATATAAGTTGATTTTCATAAATAGGCTCTTTAAACAATGCTTGATTTTGCCTGACTAAGCAGAATCTGTCTTTTTGTATAGGCACAGGAAAGAAACTTCTTTTTAAAAAAATTGGAAAAGATGGGGAAAGAGAAGAGAGAACTGGAGTTTTTGTTATGAGAGATCTGTAAAATATCCTTTCCTTTTATGCTGTTATTTAATAGTAGTAGGTTGCAGCACTGACTTTCTGGTTGTGGTGCATGAGCTCCAGAGTGCACGGACTCTCTAGTTGCAGCCAATGGGATTAGTTGCTTTGAGGCAGGTGGGATCTTAGTTCCCTGACCAGGGATCAAACCTGCATCCCCTGCATTGCAAGGCAGATTCTTAACCACTGGACTACCAGGGAAGTCCCTTGAAGTGCTGATTTTAAGATTGGTGTCTGAAAGTGGACAGTATCATCAAGTTGTGCATTTGAGGCTTACTAGTTTGCATCTTGGCTTGTGCTAAATTAGATTGTGAGATCAGGTAGTTAATTTTCTCAGAAGAAAAAAATATTAGCCATACTCATCACTCTCCAGTTCATAATTTCTTGTCATATTTCACTTGCTTCAGAAATACTCATTTTGGAACCTTCTTGTGAATGATAACTCTTAATGCTGATGTCCTGAGAGAAGCATGGAGAATTTCTTATCTAACCTAAATAATAATCATGCCATCACAGAAAATAACCTCATAAACATCAAGCAATCAGGTAGCCAGTTTATCTGTTCTTCTGCTAAATTCCATAAACTATTGAATGGAGAGGGTAAATAATGTTCATTTTTGTTTCTTACTAGGGAACATGACATTTGAAATGGTTATTTCTTATATCGTAGCTGCCAATCAGCCAGCCATTTGCAAATAGTGAAATAAACACACTGCCGAACACAAGTTTCTTTGTGGACCTGTGGTGCCCAGGAAGTCAGATGTAATATGGTTCCATTTATTCTCTTTCTAGTGAGCAAGTAATTTTCCTTTCTCTACTCCTACACAGAAGTTAAATAAAGGAGTACCCAAAAAGGGCTGTGATACTTGGTTTGTAGTAGTTGAAATACCATTTGATATCAGGGAATCTTTTCACGAAGAGTTTCCCTCTCATTTAAGAAGAAAGCTCCAGATAGCACTCCCTCTTGATCTCATTGTTACAGCAGACACATCTGTAGAAAAGGGGATGTTCCAGAAGTCCAGCGTGAAGATTTGTCTCCTCTCCCCCCACTTCCCATTCAAATATTTCTTTGTGGCTGCTTTTGCTCTTTTTGCCTGTGAAAGGAGGGATAAGACCTCATTGGTCGAATGGCAGCCAGTCTGCCCTAATATGTGGATTATTGACATGATACTGACCTCTGTTGAGTCATAGCAACTGCTATGAACAAATGTGTAAATTCCTATTGAAAAAAAGTGTTGCAAATGCCTTTCATCAAAATGGAAGACTGCTTCAACTTCTCTTTACTCCTCTAGTTGCAACCAAGCTTTTTTTTTCTCTTTTTTTCATTTTCCTCTCTTTTCGCTTTCTCCCTCCCTCCCTTTTTCAGAAATACATAAAATCTAATACTCCCAATGAGGACTCTGCTCATTTGAAGTCTTTGTATAGGCCAACCCCATATCATCAAAAATTGTTGTGTGTGATTCCCAGGCCTTAGCTGGTGGCCTAGTTATTTCAAATAATATTTAATGCAATAAATTCTAGTGCAATAAAGGAATTTGGACAGTCCCTTTGAGCTTATTGCAATGGGATTTGACTTGATTTTAATAAAATAAAATTCCAGTATAGCCAAATAATTTCTTTGTGGCATGAGTTAAGAGGTCTTTAAGTACAGGTATAGGAGATTGAGTTTGTAAAACCTGATCTGAGATAATTGCAGTTTTATTCTTACTGAATAAATGAGCACTTCAAAAATGTAGGCATTCTCCTTACTTAGCATAAGGTGATTTTTAATAATGTAGCAAAGAAAGTGTAGGCAAACAACCTTACTTTTTGTACTGTTATGGGGAGAATAAAGATACCACCTGGCTGTATGCATAAATTTGTTTACCAAGTTGGTTGATTTCTTGTAATGGGTATTAAAAATGACTTTTCTGGTGCAGAAAGCATGTGGCATCTAGGTATTATTATGAGGCTATGCTGCTTGCTAATGTTGAATATTTTATATGATTTTTTTTAAAAGAAAATTTCCTTATTCAAATTCAATAATCTTATGGTAAAGTGAGCCATAGACCAAATATTTAGGACTTATGTTGATACAAATGAAAGAAAAACACAACACAAGCATTTGGTAATTAAGAAAACCAGAATGTCAGTGTTAGAAATTTGATCATAATCTTGGACTCTGGAGATCTTATCTCAAATCAGTGGCTTTTAAGATCTTTTGTTTTCTGTAGTGAAGCAGAATAGTGAAAATGTTTTTATAGAAAGTTATGAAAAAAAAAGTATGTATTAATTTGCTTTGGGTCATTCTAATCTCTCTGGTAAATTCATAATTAGGAAGGCCCTTTAAAGACTGTGTTCTAGTCTCACAGGTACACAGCTACTCCATATCTGGTGAATCTAAATTCATATGTGAGGAGGTTATGTTTTTTTAAAGCATATTATTTACACAATTCACTGGAATGGCTCCTTTGGAAGTTGGGTGGCTCTCTTATGTAATTACGTACTTACTAACCCTGCACTACACAGCAGTAGAAATTCAAGTAAGAATAATTTACTGCTTATGCATAGTTATTAGAATTTTAAAGCATTTGTTTGTTCAAAATTCTAGTTTATCAGAGTGTTATATTTGAATAATTGCATACTTAATAAATAATAATGAATAAAATTTATTTTAGAAAGCAGCCAGATTTGAATCCTAATAGTTTTAAAGAAGCATCAAGAGCTGCTTTCTTCTCTCCCCCTTCACCATATTGTTTAAAGGAATTTCCATCCCTTTAGGCCAGATTTTGTGGTGAAACTAATAATTTCTTTTTTAAAAAATCAATATTTAGATGTGTTGCAGATGGACTTAAATAATAGAGTTTTTTAGAATTTTGTTGCTGCAAAGTATCGGTAGAAATATTTTAATCTACTCCATTTTGCCAGTGGAGAAGCTGGGGCACATGGAAATTAAGTGAATTGCTCAAGAATCTTACAATTGGTTTGATGATGAGTCTGCACCTTTTTCTGGATTAGTGTCTTAACTCCTCAATTAGTGTCACACCTGTTCTCAGTTGTTACAATAACTCAACAGTTCACTTCACCAGGGATTTCTTGAACACTTCTGTTGGACTCGGCAGTGGACTTTGTATCCAGAGATTATAAGAATAGTGTGAGTTTATATGGGCTAGCAATAATGATACCAAACTAGTGATACTTTACAGTTAAATTCTGATTTATGTAGTGTTTTTCAATGTTTATAAATGTTTAAAAGTGGCTAGCACTTAAATCTAAATTTTCTACTAGATTATAATCTCCTTTAAGGCAGGGATTCACTTTTCATAACGTTAATCCAGTTTCATTTTAAAAGGCTTAAATTAAAAAAACATTATTTTTGAGCACTGATGGCATTGTTGGAATAAGTGTAGCTTCCCATGGTGTTTACTCTGGGGATTATACTCATTTTAGAATTAGGTATTTGTCCTCATTGAATACTTTTGGTTTCCAGTAACAAGTTGTCTCATTTCATCCTTAAGCAAGAAGGAGGACCTATTTTAAGGGTACAGAGATAGCTCATGGAAATAAAGGGGAAGATGTAAGGCACAACAAGGACATGGAGCAAGTATTGAAACACTTTTAGGGCTCAAGGCAGCCACCTTGTATTCCGGGGATAACTTTCACTTGGTCATGATGTATAATCCTTTTTATA